CCTACCTCCTCGTGTCGTCGTCGTCGTCTCGCGACGCGTTCGGTTCGGTGACCCGCCGTCCCGCTCTCGTCGCGCGCGACGACGACGCGCACTCGTCTCTCTCTCTCTCTCTCTCTCTCTCTCTCTCTCTCTCTCTCTCTCTCTCTCTCTCCGCGCCTCTCTGACTCGCTCCGAGGCGGTCGGCCCACGCCGACGGTTGGGTTCCGCTGGAAAAAGGGAGCTGCTCTCCCCGCCTAACTACCTGTCTGTTACGGTAGGCCTGTTTCGACAGGCGGTCAGACCGAGGGCCGTGTCATGCAGGCGAGCAGGTCGCCAAGGTCGAGGGCGAGCTCGACGTCGCCGTCGCGGCCGTGGCCATGTATGGCCGTGGCGCAGGTCGGGTAGCGACAGGCTGGGCAGGCTGCCAGCGAGCAGCGGCTTGCCTACTTGACCACCCGCCTTGCCTTGCTTGCTTCATGCTGTGCGGGCGTGCGTGGTGCTTTCTGCAGCGTTCCGTCGCGGGGATCCCCAGGGTTCGCTCAATGTGCTGCTGGCTGGCGCCCGGCAGGCAGGCGGTTGGTTGGCTGGCGCGCAGGCAAGCTTTTCTTCTCGCCTGAGCTCAGCCTTCCCTTGCTCGCCAGCCCGCCGCTCGCTCTTCCTCGTCACCACAGCTCGTCGTCGGCCCATCCGCCGAGCTGCTCCTCGCCAGCAGCAGACTGGGCAGGGCCGTACGTACGGTTCCGCGGCCCACCCGAGCAAGCGACGTGGCCACGGTCAGGACGGGCCTGGCAGGCGGCGCCAGACCGAACGACAGCCAAAGCAGGCAGGCCCGTCACCCGGAGATAACCCTCCTCGTTGAAAACGTGCGTGGGCCCGGTGTCGTCACCCAGCGTGGCGAAACCTCGCCCGGATCCGAGCCACACCTGCCGTGGCCAGCGGGCTGGCCTTTTACGCTCGCAATTTCCGCCGAGATTTAGGGCTGCTCGGTCCTCGGTGCATCCGCACGCGCAGCCGCCAGCAAGCAAGCATCGAGGCGGAAAGACGCCTCGTCCCGACGAGCAAGGTGGCCTGCATCGCAGCACAGCACCAAGGTGACGGCTCGGCGACATGACGGCGAGCGAGCGAGGGGGGCACCACTTGCAGCCAAGCCCGCTGCGAGGCCCCTTGGGGGAGACGACAAGGTGGCGCGCGGCAGAGACCGAAGGGTGGCGACGAGGTGACCAGGCCATGCCAGGCCGAGCGGGCCAAGGCGAAGAGGCCAGCAGGCAGGCGAGCCAGCGTCGCGACCTCGCGTGAGAGGGGGCCTCAAGAGGTGTAGGCAGGCGAAGGCTGGCCGGGCGAGGCGGCGCATGATGGCCTGGCGAGGGCCAGAGGGCGGGACGGCCAAACAGGGGCTCCCATCGCGGGAGTCGGGCAGCCAGGCGAGCAGCCACGGAGCCAGAGACAGCCAGAGCCCGGCCAGCCAGCCAAACAAGGCAGCAAGGCAGCAAGGCAGCAGGGCAGAAAGAGAGAAAGGTTCTGCGGCACGCGCGCACGGCCAACCCACCACTCACCAGCCAGAGGAAGGCCCACAGAGAGGCCACACACGACCCTCGACGACAACTGGCCCTCTTCCACGACGACGACGACGACCCTCACCCTCCTCGCCTCCTCGCCTCCTCGCCTCCTTGCCACTCCTACCAGCTGCTCCCTGTCTGCTTCCGCACTCGGTCGGCCCAACGTCTCCCTTGTCAAGGCACCACCCGACACGACACGACACGACACGACACCACGACGCACAGAGAGATCCGGCTGCTCGGCCTCGCGACTCAACGACCGCACCGTCCGCAGCCGACGACTCCCTCAATCTCACTTGGAAAAGCCTGGCGATATCAGCTGCAAGATGAGCATCGCAGAGAGAGCCCCGTCGTCGGCCGCAGAGGCCGCGGCGCAGCCCGCCAAGCGCTTCCAGAACCGCATCAGAAGGGGCCAGAAGCTCGACGAAGTGAGGCAGGCAGAGGAAGCACAGGCGGCCGCATCGTCCTCGTCCTCGAGCCCATCCGCCTCCAAGGCGCACCCGCACCCCTCCGCGTCCTCGTCCGCCCCCTCCAACTCGACCCTCGCCGCCATCGACAGCCCCTTCCAGCTGCAAGAGTACCTCGCCCTCCTCGTGCGCCGCGACCCCCACGACGTCGAGAGGATCGTCGCGCTGCCGCCCGACTCGGAGCTCGACCCGGGCTCCTCTGGGCTCTCGTCGCCCCGCCACAAGTCTGGCCCTTCGTCGGCCTCGTCGCTCTCTTCCGACGACGACGGCGCCCTACAGCCCGTCGACCCGGACGTCTGGGTCTACGAGCAGCTCCGCAGGCTGGTGCTCGACCTCTCGACGCCCTGGATCACGTCGCTCCAGCACGAGTGCGACAAGCACGCCAACCCGCAGAGCTGCGCCGCCATGAACGCAGGGGACTGGATGTTCCTCTGCGCATCGCACGGCGAGGAAAAGCAGTGCTGCGCCATCGACTACATGGTCCACACCCTCGACGGCGCCACCTCGCTCCTCAACTCGGCGCGCCACTTCCCCAGCCGCACCTACGTCCCCAGCACCAGCCTACGCCACTTTGGCGCCATCACGCGCCGCCTCAGCAGGATCTTTGTCCACGCCTGGTGCTACCACCGAGACACTTTCGATGCTTGCGAGGTGAGCCGGCCGCGTGCATGGTCTGGCAGGGCCGTCGCGAAGCCAGAGCCAGCCAGCTGACCCGCACCGCTTCCCTCTTTTCGCCCTCGCCCTCGCCCTCGACAGGCCGAGACGTCGCTGTATTCGCGCTTCTATCACCTCGTCGAGACCTACGACCTCTCGTCGACCGACAACCTCCCGCCTCGCAATGTGGCGGGCTCTAGCAAGGCCGCCAGGCGCGGCGTCGTGCTCGAAGAGGAGGAAGAGGTCGACGTGCCCCGCCGCTCGCTCCCGAGCCCGACGAAGCTGACCAACGGCAAAAAGAGCCTAAAGTCGCCCAACCTGGCGCGCAAGGGCAAGAGCCCGCGCAGCCTCGCCCACCTCAAGGCGCTCGGGTCGGCCCCGCCCTCGGCTTCCGCCGGCACTCACGACGAGCCGAAGGACGGCGACGACCTGGGCCTGATCCCACCACCCGCTCCCAGCCCTAGGCCTGCGGCGATCCTGCAGCGGCCCGACCTCGACGACGAAGAGCACCGGCCGTCGTGGTCGACGATGGCAGATGGCGACGGCGACGGGGCCTCTGACCTGCAGAGGAGGGACTCGGCTGCCAGCGCCAAGACGGCCATTTTCATTGGCGACGACGACGTCGACGCCGGCTCCAAGGACGCGCAGCAGGCGGACGACGCCCACGCCCAAGCCGAAGCCAACGGCGATGCTACGGCTGCGGAGGCGGCAGCAGCCCCGGCGAGCGACGCGGGCAGTGCCGATGCAGCGTCGATGGAGCAAGCCGGACAGGGCGAGGGCCAGGGCGAGGGCCAGGGCGAGGGTGACGAGGCCTCTGCCATCGAGAGCGCGTCCGACGCGGCGGCGGACGAGGCGCCAAAGCATGAGGGCGCAGCCTAAGGGCTCCCGAGGCCGGCCATGCTGCGGCGCTCCACACGGTGCCAGGGTCGGTCGCCTCGGGCCCATCTCAAATTCAGGCCACGGCGAGCCTGGCCGTGCCGTGTCGACAGCCGATGCAGCAGCAGCAACGCCACCGGGCCTCGGCGGGTCACGTCCACGCTCGCGTCCACGTCGGCTCGGCGCGGCGCTCCTTTGATTTCTTCTCCTGGTTTCTCCTCTTGGGCGGGAATGACAACGTCACAGGTAATCTTTGTGTTTTCTGCATTATTTGGTGCAGCGGGGAGTGGGCGGGGGCAATGGGTTTGGGCTCTGGCTTTGTCCGGCTCCTTTCCTGTGGGGAGGTGGACTTCGCCAAGCAAGGCTGGCGGCCATCCCCGCATGGTTTCCCCACCCGGGAGAGGGGGAGTGGGGGCGGGGCTCCCCTCGCCTCGTCGTCCAACCCGTCCTTGGCCCTGGCTCACCCTCGACTTTGACTTCGACAACTCTGCACTTTTTTTGGCGCTTCGAGCTGTTTTCGTTCTAGTCTCTAGCTCGGCGACTGTCCTATCGTCTCTTGTGTTCTGGTATCGACCGACGTCGGTTTCTCGTTTACGACCTCTAACGACGTGTAATGACCGATTGAGCGATTCACATCCCAGTCCCTCTTTGACCGAGCTGGCAGGGTGTGTGTGAGAGGGTCCGAGGGGGATATCATCGCCGTGACGGCCTCGATTGGCCGTCTTGGTCGTATCACCTCGAAAGAAAGGGGCGCTCCGACTGATGGATCAGACCGGGCCAGTCAACCCTAGACGTATCGAGGCTTTCTCGGTCCGCTTCTAGTGAAGACGATGCGGGGTCAGGTCGCGGTGTACGCCAAAGCAAGAGCGTTGCGTGACGGGACGGGAATGCATACCGTACAGCCACATCGGTGTGCCTGGTGTAAAATCTCCGAGCCCTCACCTCCCCGCCCCCCCGGACAGCCTTCTCCTCCTAGACCTCGTCTCGAGAGAGAGAGAGAGAGAGGTTAAAGTGGCGGCAAGGCGAAGCGGAGAGCGGTACGGGTATGTGTTTGTTCCGCCCTCGAAGTCGGAAAGCTCCGACGCCCAATCTCGAGTTCGAGCTAGCTCTTCCTGAACTTGGAGGTCGGACTTGGACTTGGAACTTGACCCCACCTCCCCATCGAGTCATCGTCAGGAGCACGTCGGGGACCACGCCGACGTCCAGATCCAGGTCGAGGCAGGCAGGCAGGCAGGCAGGCAGGGATGAGCCGCGCAGGCTTTCTTCTGGCCCAAGAAGAAAAAGCAAGCGGCGGCCAAAGACCTCGGGGGCCCACCCACCCCGCAATTCCCCGCACGGCGAATCGGGACGATCCGACATGTACGGTCACGCCTGCACCCCGTCTTAGCCTGTCCTTGCCTTGCTTGGCCTCGCTCGCTCGTCGTCGTCGTCGTCTCGAGACCTCGTCGACACCTGATTGGCCCCCCCCAGACGTCGGGCACTTCGACGTCGGGTCTGAGAGCACGTCTGTCGTCGTCTCTGGCGCGACCGAGGAAAACGCAACCCGCAAGACCTCGTTCGTGCCCCGACCGAGCAGTGCTGCTGCTGCTGTGCAATGTCGATGTCGCCGTCCAGACCGCCGCTAGAAAACTTTGTCGAGGCGGGGTCGGATGACCACCGAGTCGAAGAGGCCAGATGGAGCCAGCTGCAGGTTGGTTGGGGCTGCTGGTTTCTTCCAGAGGATCGACGCCGTTTTTCGCTCAGCAGCAGCAGCAGCGGCAGCGGGGGGCCGTGGCAAGCTTGTAGCCCACTTACCCCCTCGCCTTTCTTTTGTCTCGAGAAGAGACACAACGCCGGCCGGGCCCCTTCGTCCCGCCCTGGCTAGCCTCTTCCACCCCCGCACACACCCACATCCGAGCGGAAAGCATGCGTGCGCTGCGCTGCGCTGGGATCTCGCAGGCGGAGAGAAGCACGAGGAGAAAAGGCGGGGGAATCATGAAAAATGGGGCAGGGGAGGGCGGGGAAAAGGGGTCGTCGGCCCACGCCGTCAAGGCCGATGGAAGATTGACACCTCGTTCGGTCCCCTCTCCCTAGCCTTCTCCCTGTCGCTGTGTCTGGCAGGCCGTCGTCGTCGTGTCCTGCTCGCGTTGGCCACCCACGACGCCATGTCCTCTGCGATCGACATGGAACGAGATAGTTACATACGAGCACGCATCCCGCCCCTGCCTCTCATATTGGCTCCTCTGGTCGAGTCCAGTCCAAGCCAGGCTGCGTCGTATGTAGGACCTCTGGCACGATCGACCGACCGACGATGTTGGACAAACGCTCTCGCGCCTCCAAGCCAAGGCCTGACGCTCCGCCACCGGATCCCTGGCGGCAATTTCGCCGGAATCGAGGGCCGACGACCGACGGCCACCTGCCTCGCCGCCTTGTGACCGATGCATCCTCGGCCTCGTTCCCGGTCCAGCCCCTCCGCCAACGTACGCCCCTACGCCCGGGCCGCAACGTAACGTTCTCCTCGTCGTTCTCCTCGTCGTCGTCGTCGTCGTCGATGATCACGCCAGGCTGGACACGGCGCTCCATGACTCGTTTTCGTTGTTCGTCTTGCGCTTGCTCCTTGGCCACCTACCGACAAACGACGGCGGCGCAGAGGCAGCGCTGGGCACGCCATTCATCCATCATCGGCGGGGCCGGCCGTCAAAGCTGGCTGCGTGCCCGCCAGACCACCCCCTTGGCCCAGGCACGTTCCTCCATGGCGGCGGCCCCAGTCGCCCTGCCTCGCCTGACCTGGCCCCGAAGCAGAATGCCCGCCAACCCGCTCTGTTTGCCCCCCGGCCCCGCAATCCGGCATGCGCCCAGGGCTGGTCGGGCTCGGCCCTGCCTTCCTGATGGCAACTTGACTGGCCTGCCCGCCCCCGCCCCCGCGCCCCTCGCCAGCGGCAGGCTTCCGAACAAGTAGGCGGCACCGCCTGCTGGCCCTCCCCCGTCGGCGCTATCCTACGGGCTCTGCCAGCCTCCAGCTCGCTCCTTCTTCGTCTTGGCCGGCCGTCATGCCGTTTGACCGGGAGCGTCCTGCGAATGGCGCGAGAAGGCCGCAGGCGGGGGCCCGCCCGCCAACCAGCCGGCACGAGCAGAGGCAGCGAGCGCAGCAGGGTCGATGAAGTGGTGGTGGTCCGGCCCTCGACCAGAGGCTAGGGGCCTTGCTGCTTGCTTGCCGTTGCCCTTGCCCTCATGACCACGCGTCCAGAGTTTCGCCTCCTCGGCGCAGCACCTACAGTAACCCGACGCCGCCCCGCTCGGATCTCTCCCCGAAGGCCGTCAGGTCCCAAGCAGGCGGCCCTCTCCTCGCCTTGGTTGGCTCTTCGTTCATCTCTCTCTCCCTCGTCTCTCGATCGCTGTGCTGCGCTGCGCTGCGATGGCACCGTGCGAGGCTGACATCGAAAGAGGCCCTAGGCCTACCGGTACCTCAGGTAGGCTGCTTGCTGCTTGCTTGAAACCAAGGCCAAGGTGCGTGTTTTCAATGGGCCCGCCAGGCAGGGTGACGACGGCCAGGGGGGGCAGGGGAGCGCCGGAGGAAGCGCCGAAGTCGTCGGACCAGCGTACGGTCAATGGGCCGCGGGACGGGGCCAGAGAGACACGTACGCAACGCAAGAAGGCCAGAGGCTGGCGTGGTGTTGAACTTGGCCTGGTTCGAGGGCCGATCGGCTTCGCCGGCCACGGCCACGGCCACGGCTCGACTGGCCCATGCCACGCACGAACGGACCTTTGGGTGCCTTCCCGAGAGAAGCACAGGCAGGCAGGCGGGCAGGCATAGGGTCCATCAGCCACGACGTACGGCTCGCACCGCCCGCCGCCCGCCCGCCAGCCTCGATCTTTTTTTGCCGGCCCCCCTCTCTCTCTGGGTGGAGGGCAGGCAGGCTACACGTCCTGGAGCGAGCCGCTTGCCTGCCTGCCTGCCTGCCTGCCTTGGCTGCCTCCCCGGAAGCCAAGCTGCCGTCCCAAGCACCAGGGGGCTGTACGTGGCATCGTCGACACCGTCGTCGTCGTCGTCGTCCTTCGTCCTGTGTCTGGGCCGACCAAGCTGAGCTGGGGCTGCGCTAGGGGCGGTCACCGCCATCCTCTCTTTCCCCACAAAAATTCCGACAGGCCAGCCCCCCAACCCTCGGCCCTCGCTCGCTGCGCCAGGTATATAACCACTCGGCCGCCCCTGTGCCCCTTTGCTCGCCTCTCCCTTCTCCTCTCGTCTCCATTCATTCACAGCCCCCTCACGCCTTCTTCTGCGGTAGAGTCACTTCCCCTGTCTCTCTCTCTCTCCCGCTGCTCCACCTTCTCGTGCTTTGCACCCACCGCCGCCATCGTCGAGCCTCCCGCCACCTCTTGCGTTGGATGATTGCAGCCTAGAGTCTGCTCGCTCGCTTGCTCCTTCTCCTCCTCTTCCCTCGTCCGCTCGCCCGCTCGCTCGCCTCTTCAGCGCAATGGCCCCTTCGGTCGACCAGCAGCAGCCTGCCAAGATGACGACGAACAACGGCCCCCTCGATACCCTCGCAAACGTCAAGCAGTCCCTCCTCAACGCCGCCACGCCCCAGAGGAGCGGCACCCACACCCCCGTCGACCACATCCTCTCCAACAATGTGTGAGTGCCTGGCGCGCCAGACGACGGCGACAAAGCAGCAGCGCAGCATAGCCGGACAAGCCTCGCTGACCTCCCCTGCCTCCTCCTTTTCCCTCCCGCCTCTCTCTCCCGCCGACCCGCGCAGAGGATACACGGATACCGTCTTCGAGGGCAAGGCCGAACAGGCCGCCCAGGTCAAGTCGCTCCTCGCACAGAAGGGCTTCATCCCGCCCGACCTGGTCAATGCCGAGGTCGACTGGTTCTACCAGTGAGTGCAGTGCAGTCCGTTGCAAGCGACGGACCAGCTCGGCACGGCATGCCCCGCAGGCAACCAAACAACGGCAACAGCTGGCAACGGACGAGGACCGAGGCTGACGACGCGGCATCTCTTCCCCCTTCACCCTCTGCGCGACCTCCTTCCTACCTCGCCCCCGCAGGAACCTCGGCATCGCCGACACCTACTTTGCCCTCGAGAACGTCGAGACGATCGCCGACCACATCCTCGCCCTGTTTGGCGCCAAGATCATGGCGTACACCAAGCACTCGAACAGCCTCGAGATTGACCTGGAAAAGGAGTCGGACAACGGCGCCGTCTTTATCCACTCGAGCCAGGCCGGCAAGAGCCAGGTGGCCGGCCCGCAGTGGGAGAAGCGCATCGACTCCAACTACCTCGACAAGTCGAGCGTCGACAAGGCATACCGCCTCGAGACGTACCGCTCCGCCGGCTCCGTGTCGGCGCAGTCCAAGCAGCAGCTGCGGTGCTACTTCCTGGCCAAGTGCAACTTTGTCGAGCCGCGGCCGGCGCCCGGCACGGCCGAGTACGCCCAGATCCGCGCCGTGTCGGACAAGACGTTCCTCACCAAGGCGAGCGACAAGACGCTCGAGATCTACCAGGCCATCATGGACGAAGTGCTGCGCCGCCAGGGCCCCGTCATCGAGATGTTTGAGGTCGAGGGCAGCCGCGAGCGCCGCATCGTCATTGGCTACCGCATGGGCACCACCAACAGCTTCTTCAGCGCCCTCTCGGACCTGTACCACTTCTACGGCCTCTTCTCGTCGCGCAAGTACGTCGAGCAGTTCAGCAACAACGTCACCATCATCTCGATCTACCTCAACCCGCTGCCGGCGTCGAGCAGCCCGCCGATCGAGCACTCGATCCACCAGGTGATGAAGGAGGCCTCGCTCATCTACGTGCTGCCCGACAACCCCTTCTTCCAGCCCGCCCTGGCCGAGAACACGCACGCGGTCCAGGAGGCCACCTACGCCTACGTCGGCTGGCTCTTCGCCCAGCACTTCTGCAACCGCCTGGGCCAGGCGTACCAGGCGCTGCGCAACCTCCTCGACGAAAACGACTCGCAGCAGGCGGCCATCCTCAACGAGATCAAGCTGCGCTTCCGCGAGGAGACGTTCACGCGCCAGTCGATCCAGGAGGTCATCGAGAACCACCCGACGCTGATCCGCCTGCTCTACGTCCACTTTGCCAACACCCATTACCCGGGCGGCGCCGAGGACCAGGACCTGGTGCCGACGCTGTCGTACCAGCGCCTGGTCAAGGAGGAGGTGCTCGACGACCAGCAGATGTACGACCGCATCCGCAAGGCGGCCAGCAACTCGCACGAGCGCCAGGTGCTCGAGGCCTTCCTCTTCTTCAACAAGGCCGTCCTCAAGACCAACTTCTACACGCCCACCAAGGTGGCGCTCAGCTTCCGCCTCGACCCCAACTTCCTGCCCGAGGTCGAGTACCCGGTGCGCCCCTACGGCATCATCTTTGTCGTCGGCGCCGAGTTCCGCGGCTTCCACGTCCGCTTCCGCGACGTCGCCCGCGGCGGCATCCGCATCGTCCGCAGCAAGAACCGCGAAAACTACAGCATCAACCAGCGCACCCTCTTTGACGAGAACTACGCGCTCGCCAGCACCCAGCAGCTCAAGAACAAGGAGATCCCCGAGGGAGGAGCGAAAGGCACGATCCTGCCCACGCTCGACGCCAACCCGCGCCTGGCGTTTGAGAAGTACGTCGACGCCATCATCGACCTGCTCATCAAGGGCGAGACGCCGGGCGTCAAGGAGCCCATCGTCGACCTGCTCGGCAAGGAGGAGATCCTGTTCCTCGGGCCCGACGAGGGCACCGCCGACCTGATGGACTTCGCCGCCGAGCACGCCCGCTCGCGCGGCGCGCCCTGGTGGAAGTCGTTTACGACGGGCAAGACGGCGAGCACGCTCGGAGGCGTGCCGCACGACGTGTGGGGCATGACTTCGCTCTCGGTGCGCCAGTACATTGTCGGCATCTACCGCACCCTCGGCCTCAAGGAGGCCGAGGTGACCAAGGTGCAGACGGGCGGGCCCGACGGCGACCTGGGCTCCAACGAGATCCTCCTCTCGACCGACAAGACGGTGGCCATCATCGACGGCTCGGGCGTCATCTACGACCCCAAGGGCCTCGACCGCCCGGAGCTGGTGCGCCTCGCCAAGGCGCGCCGCATGATTTCCGAGTTTGACGCGTCCAAGCTGTCGGCCCAGGGCTACCGCGTCCTCGTCGAGCAGAACGACGTCAAGCTGCCCTCGGGCGAGGTCATCCCGGACGGCGTCGCGTTCCGCAACACGGCCCACCTCCGGTTCAGCGCCGACCTGTTTGTGCCGTGCGGCGGCCGCCCCGAGGCCATCAACATCTCCAACGTCGGCCAGCTGTTTGACGCCGAGGGCAAGCCCCACTTCAAGTACATTGTCGAGGGCGCCAACCTCTTCATCACGCGCCAGGCGCGCCTCGAGCTCGAGAAGCGCGGCGTCGTCCTGTACCCGGACGCCAGCGCCAACAAGGGCGGCGTCACGTCGTCGTCGCTCGAGGTGCTGTGCGGCCTCAGCCTGACGGACGCCGAGTACGTCGACAGCATGCTCTTCAAGGACGGCAAGCCCACCAACTTCTACCTCAGCTACGTGCGCGACATCCAGACCATCATTTCCAAGAACGCCGCCGCCGAGTTCGAGGCCATCTGGACCGAGCACCAGCAGACGGGCAAGCCGCGCTCGCAGATCTCGACCGAGCTCTCGACGACGCTCAACAAGCTCTCGGAGGAACTCGAGGCCACCGACCTCTTCTCCAACGTCGAGCTGCGCAGGGCCGTCATGACGCACGTCTTCCCGCCGACGCTCGTCAAGAAGGTCGGCCTCGACACGCTCATTGGCCGCATCCCCGAGGCCTACGCCCGCTCGGCCTTTGCCGCCAAGGTGGCCGCCAGCTTCGTGTACGCGCGCGGCCCCAACGCCAGCCACGTCGACTTCTACAAGCACATCTCGAGCCTCCTCTCGGCGCCCCAGTGAGCCGGCGCCACCGTCGCCATCGCCGCGCTGCGTCTTCGGTCGGGTGCGGCAGCGACGGCACCATCGTGGCCGCCGCCGACCCTTGCCACCGCCGCCCCTTGCCGCCGCCGCCCCTTGCCACGGCCACCGATCGCCTTCTTCCATCGACAATACCTTTGATTCGGCCCCCCCTTCGGTCCGCGCTGGGGACCGCTGCTCCGTGTTTATCATCCCACCATGGTCACACCTCGTCTTGTCTCGATTCTCTTTCTCTTCTCGTTCTGACCCGCCTCTTGAAGATCTCGGCTAGACACTTTTCGCAGAAACCTCCTTCCAACCGACCAAACCATCTACCTACCCCGGGTCCGGCGTCTTGATCGCCCCGCGCGACGAGCGAGATGCGGACCCGCTGTATTCTAAAAAGAGACCCCTTCCTCGCCCAACCCGCGAGGGATCAAAGAAAGAATGAAAGAATGAAGAGAAAGAATGAAAGGGTTCCGCCGTTGAGGTCGTTGGTTTGAGCGTGTAGGAGCGGAAGGCGCGACGGACTACTTGACGTGCAGGGATGGAGGAGGGCGCGAGCGTCGCAGGCCAGGCTCGTCTTGTCGATGCATGGTCACTGAGTCGCCGAAACACGTCGGGCCGCCGGCGTCTATGGCGTAAATGACCTCGAGGCGACGAGATCGGCCTGGCCTGGCCTCGCTCGGTCCTGTGCTCAGGTCTGCGTGGCCAGGCCAGACTGGCCATGTACCCTCGAACGTCGTCGATCCGGGCATCGTACCAGACGTCGCCCGCTGCATGCTTTGTAGATCCCGCACCCTCTTTCTTCTGGCCTGCAGCTTCGTCGGCCGCCTTGATGGGGATGAGGCGACCGCAGCAGGCCAGGCCAGCGAGAGCGAAGCGAAGCGGTCCCCGGCGAGCGAGCGAGCAAGCTAAGGTTTTTTTCCCACTCCTCGGCAAAGGCCGCGCGTCGTGGAATGCCCACCTTGCTTCCAAGGCGGATAGGCAAACGTGCAGTCAGAGCTGACGTCGCCCGTCACCGTCACCGTCGCCGTATGAACCACCCTTGGGGGCAAGTCAGCCCTGGCCTACCGTACCTGTAGCCTGGCCAGAGCAAACCAAGTTCGGGGGACCACGCACACGCACGCGCCTGCCTGCTCCCCTCTGGCTGGCCTATTCAAAAATAGCCCAGCCCAACCGGTACTAGCAGCGCCGATTTTTGAATGGCGCTGCAGCGCTTTAGAACGCCGTAAGGCTGCGTCCGGGGCGGAATCTGGCAGCAAAACGCCCTCGCCCTCGCCTTCGCCCCGCCCGCTCTGCTGGCCTGCCCTGGCCTCCCTGCCCACTGCTGTAGCCGCGACAGGCCTGCCAGGCCGGCCTCTTGCGCCAGCGCGCGACACCCGTCAGACGCACGCCTATCCCGACCCTGGCAACCGAAGTTGCCATGCCATGCCTGCCTGCCTGCTTGCCTGCCTGCCTGTTTGCCTGCCTGCCAGGCCTCTCCTTGACGACAGCCAGGCGGCCGGCCAGCCAGCCAGCCAGCCAGCGAGGAAGCAAAGGAGCGAGCATCGGCAAAGTTACCGTAGCGCAGCGTAGGTAGCGCCGTTGGTCGTCATCCTGCCCACCTACCGCTAGCCTGCCTGAGGGCGCTCAAGCGGAGCTCGACGGCGACCTGGTCAATGTCGTCTCACTCCTCACCGCCACCAGACCACGACCACGACCACGACGACCACCACAATCATATCCTTCCCTAACCCCGTCGTCGATCGATCGCGAGGCAAACCCGTCCTTCACATACCAGCCTTCCCCCCACATCTGCCCTACGGCTATCTTAGCCACCAGACACTCTCGCTCTCTCTCGCCCGTCTACCTATCCTAACGGCATCGCGCAGGCGCGACACTTCGTCCCATCCCTCTCTCCTTTTCTTCCTCCCTCCCTCTCTCGCTCCCCATCTCCCGCCGCCGCCGCCGCCGCCGCCGCCGCCCGCTGCTGCTTCTGCCGTCGCCGGGTCTAGGTCCACACACCGACCCCGACTTCAATCATGATGGCCTCGTTTCCGCCCCAGCAGCGTCGCAGCAACGACGCCAGCGTGGCAGCAAGACCGCGCTGGCCCCAACAACGGCGTCAGCTGCCACCGCAGACGATTTCGACGCTGACCGACTCGCTGAGCGACGGCACGAAGCAAGGGGCGGCGCACGCCAAGTCGGCGCTGGCCGGCTGGTCGACGACGCAGCTCGTCCTCCTCGCCCTCGTCGTCGTGTTTGGCGTCGCCCTGCTCGGCTGCGCCGCTTGGTGGTGCGCCGGCTTCAAGCGGCGCAGGAAACAACGTCGCCGCCTCGGTCGAAGCCGCGCCGTATCGCCCAGCCTCGTCGATGCGGCGGCGGCGGCCAACGGCGAGACCGAGAGCATGGTCCAGTACGACGTCGTAGAGGCCAAGAGGGCCAGGGCCGACGGATCCGTCAGACCACCGCACAAGGCCTGGATCTCTTCCCCGCTCCCCTCGCCCCTCTCGTCGCAGCACCAGCTCCATCACCAGGGCTACCACCACCAGCAGCCGCACCATGGTCCAGTCACGACAACGGCGGGCGGCTACGGCTACGGCTACGCCATCTGAACGAAGCTCCGTAGGGGGGCCTACCGATAACCCGACCCACCCCGGCTCCTCACCACCGCGTGGGCAGGTCCCCATCTATCTCCCCTGGCTGTCCCATCTTGGCCCTCAATGACTGCCAACACCCCGACCGTTCCATTTGCCCCCTTCGCCCCACGCGCCCCATTCGCCCATCCGCCCCACACGACGACACGCCCTCGGACACGCCGCCGGCCCCGCCCTCGAAATAGCGCTCAAGCTCCGGCCCAGCGCAACACGTTCCCTACCCGGCATCCGGTCCTCCCTTTCGCAAAGGGGGACCCTGGCCTGCCTCTCTGTACATGTCCCTTTCTGCTTTTCCCTCGCCGCTTGCTGTACTTCTACCGACCGTCTCCCCCCTCGCCCCTCTCCCTCGGTCCCCTAGACCGAGGGCAGAGCGAGAGCGGCAGTGGACCGTCCCTCCCTGTACTCGACCCGACCCGACTCGACCGGACCGGACCAGACGAGCGCCCTGTACCATAGAACCGTGCCACCCCTGCCCCCCTTTTGTTGCCGCCCGTCCTCTCCTCTCCTCTCTTTCTCTCTCTCTCTCTCTCTCTCTCTCTCTCTCTCTCTCTCTCT